TAATTAATGGTGCAGTAAATAAATGATTTGATATCCATTGGCACACAAATTTGCCTGTAAACTATAATTAGAGATTGTGTTTTAGTGTCATTCTCATCTGTCTATCCTTGTTTATCTATATAAAATCTTGTCTACAGTCCCATTTAGACCTATTTAATATCAATCTATTGCTAGTAAAATGCTAACAATTTATGCCCTATTTTCAAAGTCTTTAAGCTCCACAGTGAATGAATTGAGTGAAGCGTGATCTAATTATGCAAATTATGAAGGAACAGTAAGTTGTAGAATGATGAGCACAAAGATAGCTCAATAAGAAGTAAGAGTGGGAGGAAGCTAAAATTGCTCCTCAATTCTTCCTTGACAAGTGCTCCTACTCTTGTTGGTGAGATTCTTGGCTTAATCTACTTCTTAAGTGGCATTGTGCTCCATGATCAAGCAGACTCACTTTGTCCTATTTCCATTTTATTCTAGCTTTGGCTCACAGTGGAAGTCAAGGCGGAACTGGGGTTGCAACTTCCCAAGAAGAGGCACCAAGTGGATCTGCACAAGAATCCGATCGATATTTCATGGTGGTAATCTCAGAGAAGCATGCTCAAGTTATTGGTTTCCCATCGCGAAACTGCTACAATCGAGTTAGTTGTTTATCGAATGTTTCCATCAATAATCTTTCTCTTTTTTTACACCGTCATGCATTTTTCATGTGGCTATATGTCTGTTAAATATTAGGATTTTAGAAAATATGGCAATTATGAAATGCTTTTCTCCAATAACATTTTTGTATCCCAATTATCGATCGGTGCATTACTTAACTTTATATGTGCATTACTGAATTGATCCTGTTTTTATCAAATATCCTTTGTGTTAAAAAATGCATTAACCTAAAAATCGTTTTTTTTCTATTTGTAATTCGGTAAATTTCCAATAACACAAGAATATTTTGCGCATCTATAGACTAATAAATCAACCCCATCAATCATGATCTATACAAGCGAGTGACACTCAACTTAATCCTCAAGTCCTGTTCCCACGCTTGAAATCTGATATACCTGTCTGATTTTTCTCATGGCATTTGATTGAATTATTGCTGGAAAAAAGTGCTACAAAGTAAACGATTATCAGGTTCACTTTATTTGGGTTATCTTTCGTGGTTGGAGGTTCGGGGAGTGGAGGGGAGGGGAGGATTTCATTAGCTGCATTTTGGAGGAAAACAGTCCACTCGTTCTTTCGTAACTGATTTTTTTAGGGTCTAACTATTTGAATCTTATTTAAACTGTTTGGCTGTTCATAAACTTTACGCCTTAATCGACGATGTTGCTCATATTCCTTTCTTTGCTCTTTGGGGTAAGTGGTGGTTATTGCAAGAGGTACCTAATACTAAAATATTGTCCTTCCAAGCTTCACGAACCATTTTGCCTCAAGTGAGAAAGTAGACACGTTCGGTTCTTATAAACTTATTTGTAAGAATTAATCAGAAAATCGAAATGTTCAAAAAGAGGAATTCGATAAACAGATCAGTAGCCTGTGATGGGTTAATTATTGCAAGGAGTGATTGGACTATAAAAATGAGTTAAATCGATTAGCGGTCGAGCTTAAGCTTAAATTACATAGTCATTTCCATTCATAGTGGGACGATGTTATCTACCTTTGGGAAAACGAGCAATTTCTTCTTATGGACGTAGATGTTTTGCACAATCTCCCCTTCCCCCTCCCCCACAAACTTATTGTAAATTTTTAGGTACTTTATTTTATGAATTATCATTAAATTTGCCTTTACTGCTTTTTGTCTTCATGCACATTTGTGTTCCTACTGTTTCCTTGTTGGTCGAAAATAGTTCCCATCGATTTCCCCTCACCTCCCTATTCACTATAAATAGCTGAAATACAAATATCAAATTTTCATATTTTCCTGAGAGTTATTCTGCCATGCAAACACACTCTTATGTTATTCTCTAGCTTTCTTGTTCAACATTTTCATTCCTTTTAATGTGTGCTCAGATCCTGTTATCAAGCTGGTGTTAGCTGTGAACTAGATCAAATTAGTCTAGTAACTAGACATGACGATTCACTGACATAATTAACTGTATATTTGTGTAGTTAAAATTTGGTTTTTGTTGAATTGGGATTAGCCAATTATTGCATTTCATTTTTCTACTGTGACAGAATATGTTTGGTCAGATAATGGACCGATTGATGAATGACGCTTGACCACTTAATGGTTTTGTTGTGAGTGACGCTTTGTTGGCTTGTTATCGTTCACCCCAAAGCACTATATTCGCCTTTATTATCCTAAATCATTTGTTTACATTCTTTAATGCACTCTGAAACCGTATTTGTGCAGCAATGAATGGATGTTAAATTGAGCTTACTAAAAGTGGCTTTAGATCAATTCAATTTTTTCTTCTATCTCCTATTTTGTTTGCATAATTATATCGTCTTATGGTTAGTTCCGTTAATTTTATTTCTCTTATCTTAGTAAAATATCAGACGAACTACAGGAAATATAAATAATTGCCTTTAATATATATAGGGAGACAAACCGAACAAATGTTAGGCAAAGAGGAGGTAAGTCTTACTCAAACCACCCTTTTCTTTTAAGAGGGGGGGGGGGTTGTCGTATGGCCCGATGCAGAAGGTCCGGATATCATAATGGCCTAATCCCTAGCCGATATCGTAAATCCTCGTATCCTGAACAAATAGCTGAAAGTTACGAAAGTCAGGGTTCTTTTAAAATTCTATTTAAGTAGTGTGTTAAGCCGAGCAGAAACTATTTGACTGTTTTGACCGAATCCGATATCAAAAAATGTACAAATTGGAGCTTAAAGATTAATAGCCGCGCAATGATTCTGATGTCGCCATTTTTTATAAGAGTTTTGACATTGATGACGGTAAATTTTAATTTCAGGTGAAAATTACAGAGACAAGCGCGGTAATTCGGGCGGAAATCGGTAACCAGCGCATGTCCCAGTCAATAACGCAAACTTCACCTCCCACCACCATCCTTTACGTCAACTGTCTGCTATCAAACGGGCATCTAATCGCCTTCTCACTTCCCTCTCTACGAATTCTCTCCGACGTTGTTGCAATTACTGGTGGTTCCTTCCAACAGAGTCTCTTTACTTTCGGCAATTTGGGTCATGCTGTCTACTTTACTTCACCTTCTGAACTCTCCAAAATTACACTTTCTGCTGATCTTAGGTGTGTTCCTGTAGTATTTGAAGTCATCATTTTAGAAGTCCTCGATTTATTGCAGTAGTATTATTAATAGTTATGGGGACAATATTTAATTTCGGGAAAGATTAAAACAGTCTAGTAAGAGTTGGAGAAACTTGGGAAACGATCAAACAGTTAGAGGTCTTGCTTCAATTGAATTCTGAATTCATCAGATGTTTTACTACTTCAAAAAGTTCATATCCCAGGGTTCAATCTACAGCCCTCGAGTGAATTCACTTTCAGAGCCTATTGACATTCAGTCTCTGTACATTTATTAGGTCCATTAAATCAACAAATAGTGATATATATATAAATGTTTGCATTGCAATTACGACGTGGAGGGAAATATGAAGATACCCTTCTGCCAAAGTGGGAACGTCTCTGGATCTCGAATTGCAATTTGTTCCTCTTTGACGTCAGCATTTTCAGAATATTTGTTTGTATCAAATGGCAGGCGTCTTGATGGTTATCATTAGCCCTTTAGTTGCCTTCAGGCTTCACAGAGGGGAAGGAACATCAAATCTAAAAACGTCGAGAGGGGGAAGAGAGGAGTGTTTCAAAGATGTAAGAAACGAACACAAAGGTAGAACAAAGGTGGGGTGAGTACTGTGAAAATAGTCGAATATGGCATAGAGTGGGGTGATGGTAGTTTGAAGTCAGAAGTCAACTGCCGGTCAATAGACTTTTTGCCGTATGAATTTACGTTGCCCAGGGTGCACCACGTGGAGGTAAGTCTATCGCACACCCCCATTTTCAGAATATTTAATGAATGAAAATTTAATTTCCACTGTAGCTTCTCGGTGTACTATTTCATATTCATTTGCTGGATCCCAGAAAATAACCTAGCTCGCCTAACTTGTCAGTAGATTTAGAAAAAACTCGTGGCTGTATCGCTTCCATCTTCTTCTAAATACGTCTCTTCAACGTTCATTTCTGCAATTAACATAGACTCATCTCCTTTTTAACAGCATTCCTAAATTTTATTAAAAACTGTCTGTTTTTTTCTGCTACGAAATTCTCATTTATCTCTTAAACTGGCAACTTTAACAATATTATTAATCGAATAATTAGGCTTCTTTCTTATTAGTTAGCAATATCTATGACTGTATTTAATTCTGCTTTATTAAGATTTGTTATTCTTCTTAACCCAAATATTACTCATTCGTGAAAACATTTAGGAATATGAAATTTGGTAATGTAAATAGTATCATTGAGAACTGAGAATTTCTCATTTCTCTCACATACTATTTATTTATATCAAATGGCAGGTGTTTTGATAGTTATCGTTAGCCCTTTAGTTGACTTCAGGCTCCACAGAAGGGAAGGAACATCAGAGTGAAAAAATGTCGAGAGTATGGGGTGGAATAGAAGAGTGTTTCAAAGATGTAAAAGAGACAGACAGAAAGGTAGTGAAAAAGGTAAGGTGAGGGGAGCACTGTGGAAGTGGTAGAATATGACATACATTGGGGTCATGGTAGTATAAAGTCAACTGCCAGTTAATAGACTTTTTTGCCGTATGACCATACGTTGCCCAGGGTGCACCACGTGGAGGTAAGTCTATCGCGCACTCCTATAACGTAATATTATTTTTTTGCCAACGAAGTGATAAGGAATATATTGCGGCCTGCCGAAAACTTTATTGGAAAGTGTCTACCAATCGGTGTACCATTGGTGGGTTTGTGGTGGTCAATCTACCAAGATCCTCCCATCTGACTTCCATTTACGAAAGTTTTTTATACTAAAGCTCATGCAATATGTTTGCTTTCCTTTGTAGCGCCAATTTGAGTGAAATGTACGGAGACCTCTTCCTGCCCTGTAACATGCCAGAACCTCCCAAGAAAAACTTCTTTACCAACCTCTTCACTGGAAGTGGTCTCTCCAATACGGAAAGAGAAGCGTTGTGTGAGTTAAATTTCTCTCTCTCTCCCTATCACAGTATCTTTCAACTTCATATATGGTTGAATAACCCTATGGATACTCTAGCAGAATAAGAATGAGTAGCACTTGTCGTTAGAGGGGTCAGAAGTAGAGTTAGAAGAAGGCGCTGACCTCAATAAATATGTGGCTTTAATGAGAAGTAACAGAAAAAAGGTATGAAAAAAATTATTTTATACAATGGAGATCTGGTTCCTAGTGGTTGTTTGATCCGTTATCTTTGCTAGGTTGTAGTGTTAAGTATTCTTAATAGGACTTGGCTATATAGAAGACAATATTGTGCTGTCTGCAGGTTGGATCTAGACTTTTAGAAATTGGATCGCTGTGGGCGGGGGCATCTAGAAGATAGTTGGAGCAGGTTCAAATCTTCCAAGATTCTATCATAGGCCAATTGTAATAATCGGAGAAAAATAGCCTTTAATAACACAGAAATCGTTACTCTACGTGGTGATATTTTAGCATAAGAATACTAGAAGTAACTTATCATAATAATAATAATAATAACGCCAAAACTAAATCTATCTTAATTTTTCCCGCAGATTTGGAACACTTTTGAAGATTTGTTAATGCTATGGATTTGTCTATTGAACACGCTTTCACTTTAATTACCTTTGGCATTGAAGTCACCTTGTTGCTGACCCTTCATGCTTAATTGGCATTAGCAAATTCTTTAAGATCAGGTTGCTTCAGTCCTCTGTCGATCATTGTCTTGGCTCTTTCACATTTACCACTTTGTAACGGTTCTAGGCTGTCAATTAAGTAAGCGAATTCCCCATCTCAAGTTTGCTCTTTTTGTGCATATGAATTATCCTTTATTTCACACAGAGGTCCTCAATTATGGCATGATTTATTGAATCATAGTCGCAAGGCCATCTAAATTTTTTTTTTGAAATAGGCTGTTCTTGTTATACGTGATCTAATTGCAGATATGTTCACTGATTTTGAAGTTTGAAGCCACTATACTACTGAGTTACTATTGCTAAGTTTCAGAAAGAATGCAACGGAAGACTTGCTATTCTAACAACAGTTTCGAATTAGAAAGTACCCCCCCCCTCTCTTGCATAAATTGGAAGGGGATTGGCTACCTTATTAGCCAATATGTGCAGTCGTAACAGAGATTCATTGGGGGGGGGGGGGGGGGGGGGGGGGGGGGGAGGGGGTGGAGGGGGAGGGAAGCACAAGATTGAGAACTCACAAATAAATAAATCGATACAAGAGCAATAAAGCCTGTGAATTTCGCCTGAGTGCACCAAAAGGCTGTCAAATTTTATTCATCAACTCCTATTTGCACATGCCATGCTTATTTATGTTTTGCAAAACGAAAATCTAATCGATTTAAATGTGTTAGAAACTTATTCATCCCTCTAATGCGTCTGATCTGGCCAGTTGCTCAATGCGGTAGTGAAATAATTGTGCAGAAGTATTTTGCATATTCACTCATTTCGCTTAAATCCGGGGTTCTATGTCATTTTCAAATCTGTAATTTCAGCATGGCTGATTTCTTGTTGTCCACTAAATGCATGTGCGGTTTCAACAGAACAGAAATCGATAATATGCTTCTCTGTAATATTTATTTATTTCTATCAAATGGTTGGCGTCTTGATGGTTATCATTACCCCCTTAGGTGACTTCAGTCTTTGTAGAGAGGAGGAGGAACAACAATGTGAAAAAGTCGAGAGGGGAGGGGGGTGGGGAACATTAATTTTGCCAGGTTAATTTCGCAAAATTTAACAATGCCAATATTTCTCAAGGCAATTTGCCACGTTTTTATTGTTGCATAATCTTACTTTAAGAAAATTCTAGACTAGCTCAATTGACGTATGTTCTACTTATCAAATGCTTATTTATTATTAAGTTACATTGAATTGTGGCGTCGTTTATGCTTATTTGGAAGGGATTTATTAGCCTCGGCGGGCCCTAAAAACAATGACATGATTTCATAATGAAGGAAATGGGATTTAAAGTATTGTAACTGGTGTTTTTAACGGGATTTCGTTTATCATGCCCCTTGCGAGAATTTAGTACGGCAAGATTTTTCCAACTTCAAATTTCTTTGACGTGTTATTTGAATTGCTGTAATTGCGTTACAATTAAACCCCAATTATCTTTGTCACCAGTTTCTGAATCTCCTTACTGATTCACCACTTATGGCATCTTGTGTTCAAGCTCTCTTAAAATGAAGTGGATTTTGCGGTGATGTTAAAATCTACCCCTCTCTGTTTGCTTTCGAAGTAGGTTTTTACTCTTAGAGAAGAAAATTGCAATTGGAAGGTATCCGTTTTATTACGGCGAGTTTAGCCATGATTGAAAATCAATTTCTTAAAGACCTTCAGATTTCAAGATACTCAAGAATTGTGCATCGCTTCAATTGCGGTAAAATTCCATTAAATGTTGTTCTAGTTTTAAATAATTGAGTGTGTCGACACTTTCCTCTGCGGATTCTCAGATCTCTTAGTTGATCTAATTTGCGCTTTGTAGCCTGGAAAAGCGTGATCCTCTATTTTGCTCAAATTCTACCAAAAATTGCATTCAAAAAGAAATTAAAATACTATTAAATACTCTCTTCGTGTTTCCTGACTAAATAAACAACCATTTATCCATTTTATGAATCGTTACTCATTTTGGTCTCATTTTTGGAAGCATCTAACTAAGTCCGCTTCTTCTATGAGAAGCATCTCATAAGTGGGTTGTGGGAACCAAAAGTAAGGAATACTTGAATCGGGGCGCGCGTATGTAACCAATTAACGCACTGAAAATTTTCTATTTACTAATGTGAAACTTTGAAATAGGCATAGTTGTAAAAAAAAGTTTCTCGGGGGCTAGTATTGCTGTTATTGGTTAATGAATGTGCTGTTTTATGGTCCATCTGTTTTGTTGATATGCCACTAATAAAAGAGCTACATTTGAGCATCTGATCGAATGAATTTGTTTGAATCCCATCACCGTCGGAATAATTAGCTATATATGTGGTTGAATGAACTTCCATCGAGTGATATCTAAAGTGAAAGTGTGATTCTGTCATCCTTTATATGCAGTACTTAAATGACTGCCATTGACGTCTAATGGTGGCTCAGCCCTAATAACCTCTTAAATTGATCAATTCTTTTGTTACGATAACATGAACAGGCACGATATAAAAGGAGCTCTCGAGGTAGCCGATTTTTCGCCCTCAAATTAGAATTTGCTTCCTGTTCATTGTTCGTCTACTTCACAAACTATATTGTTATTTATATCAGTAGTATGCAAAGTATTTAAGACTTTATATGGATTTACTATGAGTGGACTTTATTAATCCATCTCAATCATCAACATAAATTTTTACGTTAGCTCATAACAACTTTACCATGGCTCCATAACTTTAAAGATGAGTGCACCAATATCTTCCTGCCTTGTTTACTTCTTCCGTTCGGGGTGTAGGATTTCACCCAACACCCGATGAGTATGAACTGAATTTGGAAAAGCGAATGAATGCAAACTTTCCCTCCTGCAAAACTCTTACCTACCTCCAACTTTTATTTTTGGAGGAGCTGAGTTCTAAGGCATGTGGTTTATTGGAGCAAAGAGGTCCAAATGCCAATGGAAAGTTGACAAATAATTGTATCTTCCTCACTAAATTTCCGTAATTTGTCTGTCTTCTCTTAGTAAATATGTACTCCTTGTGTAAACAGTGTTGAATTAGAGCCTTTTTACCCTTTGCTGCGACTTTCGAATGTCGTGCGGATGATCGGGTTCATTTCCTATTGGGAAACAAATGTCGCAAATTTCATGCAGTTAAATTTCTCATAATTTGCATATTACTTGCGCAAACGTTGCGGCTGCCAGAGTGTGTATTCCCAAGTGTCTCTTGATATTTGGCTGTGTTTCCTATTATTCCATGTTAAGACTTAACAGGTACGAAAGTAAATGGGAAATTTGTAATTTCTTTTCGTCTAACGCGTTGTGTCCATTATTGGTCCTACAGTATGCTTGCTAGAATGCTCACAGTGAACCAGTGGGAGACAATTCCGCTTATTGGCTGTAGTTGAGTTAACAGAGGTCAAAAGTGAATGGTAACTAAAAGTATAGTTATTGTGAGTTGAGCGGAGGATCGAAGTGAGTTTGCCAGAAAACTGCTGGTGTTAAAGACGATGTTTTCATTATTTTAGTAGGTGAAAAACAAGCGGGTAAATCGACAATAGGAACGGCTGCCCTCCTACCTTCAGGTCGAACTGAACGTCTGGGAGGTCAGGCATCTGGTGCAACCTCGGACATAGCTCGAGCCCGAAATGCCGCCATAGAGCGTGGCGAGAAGTTGGGTCAACTGGACGTCCAAACCCAGGAAATGCTGGAACAATCCAAGAATCTTGGCAAGACTGCGGCCATGTTGGCTGCCAAATATGAAAAACAGGACAAATGGTGGGGCGTTTGGCCACGATGATGAATTCTCCAAGGTGTTTCCTTCTTATTCCTTTTCCTACATTCCAAAAACTAAGTTTCCTTCCACTTTACGTTGTTGTGTGCTATCTTACTTCCTCCAATACCCAAAGCCATATGTGATATCTCAAGTCCACTCCAACCCTCTCTCCCACTTCTCACTTTCTTCATGTTCTTGTGTATGGTGATATACTACTAGATGAATATAAGTACGCTATGCAGCAAAATTCCCTCTTCCTCAGATTAACTGCTCTGTCCATTTGTCTTTTCCCCTCTATATATATATATATATATATATATATATATAAATATATGTATTCATATCTCCCTCTCCCTGAGATGTAATGGAATACTCATACCTACCCTATTATTGTTATTATTATTGTTATAACTATAAACATTTTACGTCTCCTTATACACCTCTTCTCTACCATTCTCTCTCTTCTTCTTCCGATCTCCCTTCTCCAAATAGAATCACTCTGACCTCTCTTCTTTCCTCCTTCTCCTCCTTCTCTCTCTCTCCTTCTCTCTCAATTTCCAGTTATTGATTACATTACAAGTTTGTCGACCACAAATACATTATATGCATTCCTCTTGAATGTTAATTCTTCTCTTTATCATGCCTCGTGTCTAACGCGAGATCGCTTAAAGTTGGCAACGAAAATCGCATAAAGGCGAACTTCCGCATAAAATGCTACAACCAAAGTATATTGTGCAGTGGCGATAGAATTTCGAGGAAGGGTAAATAGGGTACTAAGTCTCTGTATGGTGTGCACTAAAACCATAGGATGTGTTAAAAGTGAGTGGATTAGCTGAGTTCTTACAATTCAGTCGCGAATGAAAGTGAAGGAAGAACACGTTGTGCAGAGAGAAACTTTGACTGCATCTAGGTTATGCAACCCTTCATAGGGTAAAATAATTTCATATGAAATATGTGGTTCAAGGGTACTTTCCGATAATCTCACTGGAAGTAATTCCTTGCAGTCATCCGCGACTGCCAAGAAATTCGATTAGCTCCGACATAGAGGCAAATGTGAAGTCATTGTAAGGCCAATGGCGCCTATGAAAGAATGAGTAGCTCTGTGATCGAATGGAATGATTATGTATGGGGGGTTAAGATAATCACTAAATTGTTAAGACCATTCAACTGAAAGTCATTGTGCGAATTCGATAAAATGAACAGCAACGTATTAAAAGTTTGAAGGAATGAAACTAATCTGATACGTGACAAAGGGGTTTGGAGCATCGGGGTGGGGGGGGGGGTATTGATTCTATTTAATATGGCTCCATCATCAACGACAAGGGAGCATTCATACTGCCTCAAACGCTTTGGGGTTGAGCAGTTCCACGCGCACGTTTTTTTGATGTAGAACGAATAAGATCAGGTTTGTACAAAATAAGAAAACACACCTTAAAATTTGTATGCAGTGAAAAAAAATCTGCTCAGCAATCCTCAAAACATTTCTTTACCAGAAAGTGTAAGAATCAAGTATTGAGTATTAAGCCTTAGTTCTCCTGAATCTTAATTTTCCACCTGCCTTACGTATGCCTTAATCTGACCTCCCCAAATGATTTCATAATTAGGTAGTGATATAAATTTGGAAATGTCGCTTTCGTCGGTAGAAACGGAATAAAATCCTGTAGTAATGCGGTGATAAGTTGCTTTTCTAAAAAATTGTACATTATGCAAACGTTTTAACCAATCACAATTCCAAATAGTCACTGCTTAGCTATGCTCAATTGCTGCTTTCAAAGCCAAAACTTCCCAGATTCCAAAAATATAGAGTATTCACAGTTCGAACAGTGGATTTCCTCCACAATGGAGGTAAATTTGTTCCTATGTGGCAGAATTTGCGGTCAACGAGTGGGCGTAAAATCGGCCAGCAATCGCTTCAATAGTGGGTTTGAATATCCATTCGTTCTGGGTGTGCGATTGACTTACCTCCACGTGGTGCACCCTGGG